GGAGCCATAATAGAGCTGCTCCCGCAGACGACGCTTGTATTGAGGGCGGAAACGGGATCACGGCGGAGACGCTGCTAAAGCTGCTTCCACAGACGAATATCCTGCACCTCGCGTGCCATGGCCATCAAGATCTGGAGAATCCGTTGCAGAGCGGATTCATTCTGCGTGACGAGAAACTCACGATCGAACGACTGATGCCTGTACCCCTCCCTCGCGCGTCCATGGCATTCTTGAGTGCTTGCGAAACAGCCAAAGGTGACTTCGTGAGTACCAATACCAGTCGAGATCATGGTGCCACTGAACAACGTGCCCATGCAGAATCAGCCTGATCAGGTGGTCCATCTCGCCGCCGCCATGTTCTTCGCGGGATTCAAAAGCGTCATCGCTACGCTCTGGTCAGTCCCGGTTTGCAGCTTCGCACTTCTATGATGCCGACTTACAATCGACTGTAAAGGTCCATGGCGGACGCGGACGGGCCAGAGATAGCTCGGTCTATATATCAGAACATATTCAGCAGCGAATCAGATCACATCGATCCCGATGATATCGCGTATGCCCTCGACGAGGCCGTCACGAAACTGCGAACCGTCCAGCCTGAGCCGCTCCGATGGGCACCGTATATACACCTAGGGATTTGAGCATGCGCCAATATATGTCATTGGCACGACAGAGACCCCGTTCGCGTATGCTCGTAATGAATGACTGGGATTCATAACCGAGCCTCCACATCCGACCAACCATCCGACTCATCACCCCGAATGATTGTTGTTCACTTCATCCGCGGGAGGCACCTCGACGTGCTCGATCACTACCGAGAATCGTCGCCTTCGACATCGAACGAGGGAAAGGACATGACAGAGACGTCCGAATCCACCGGTGAGGGGGACAGGACATCTTCGTTGATGGCTGCAGTGTCGTGCGGTGCCGGGCTGAGAGCCGATGCTGAAGTGGACGTATCTGCTGGATCGACTTGAGATTGGGACGTAGGCGTATGGATCTCATTGTCAACAGACGGTTGTAGAGGGACTTCTTCTCAGGCGACCACGACCACCGACGCTTCGGTCTTTAACGGCGCTAGTAGAATACACATACTCTTGCTCTACTTTGGCATAAACGCCTGCGAATCAAATAACTAGAACGATATTAGAGTGAACAAGGATCCATATGGGTCCGAATCCACCGGGATCGACAGCGAGCAACGCGAGTGGGGGAAGACGCAATGTTACGCCCGCCGCCCAGACGACCAAGGAACCCCTCACCAGAGACGAATTAGCTAGCCTACCATCGCCAGTTACAAACATTAATGAAGCACGAGCATACCTAGCCGGCACCGGACACTTAATCGACACGGAAGGACCACTTAATATCGACAAGTTCGTGATAGCAATGTTACAGGCGGCTCAGGACAAGGATCGGAGATTAGCAGGGAACCTCCGGGCCTTCGCATTCATACTGGAGACCTACAGGGAGGGGACGGGCAGGGCAGTTGACAAGGTCGAGGGAAGGATGGAGGAGATGGGAGCAAAACTGAAAGCCATGGAAGAACAGATCGCGGCACTCGGCGAGCAGACGAATAAGGTTCAACGTATCACGGAGAAGCTGGGGGCGATAGAAGAAGACACGCTAGAGATGGTGGGGGAAAGGGTCAACGAGGTCAGAGACGCCGCGCAGAGCGCTTTCGAAATCCTGCAACACGCGATCGAGAGAGGGTCAGCACAGACAACGGGAAAGACAGGAAACATCGAAGACTACGACTACGGAGTCACGGACGACTACAACTTACCGGCCACGAGGACGGCAGTTACCCCCGCACCAAAGACATACGCAAACACGACAAAGCAGACACCTCAGGCCCCTTATCAACAGATCGTCGAACAGAACGCGAAGAAGAACCGGAGGATCATCATCGACGCGAAGGGACCGGACGTGCAGAGCCTTACGGAGGAACAACTCGTGGCGAAAGCGAATCTGGCAGTGGACATGATCAGCGGGGAAGAGGAGGGAAGACCTCAAGAAGTCCGCTTCACAAGCGTGAAGAGACTACGAAACGGAGGTATGGAGTTCGAACTGAATATGACACAGGCAGCCAGCTGGATCAAGAGCGGAGCTATCAAGCAGAAGATAATCAGCAACTTCGGCAACGAAGCGGAAATCAAGGAGCAAGGCTTCGCGGTACTCATCGAAAACGCCCCACTGTACTTCCGGCCGGAGGAAGAGGAGGACCGTATCGCAGTCGCGAGAGTCAACGGATAGAACGAGGACGACTTCCTGCGAGCCAGATGGATCAAGGCCCCGGAAAGAAGACGACAGGGACAGACAAGCGCCCACATTGCGGCGACTCTGAAGACGGAGAAGATCGCAAACGACGCGATTCGATGGGGAATTACGATACGAGGTAAGAGCTGCAGCGTACGCAGACTAACGAAAGAAGCGACCAGGTGCAACAAGTGCCAGCGATTCGGACGACACTTCGCGGCGCAATGCAGGGAGATACATGATACGTGCGGAACATGCGGAAGTATCCAACACACCACGGAGAAATGTGAGTTCAAAGACAAGTACGAGAAACATTTCTGCGTCAATTGTAGGCAGGCCGGACACGCATCGTGGAGCAGAGATTGCCCCATGCTCAAGGCAAAGAACTGAGAAGTGGACGAACGATTCCCTGAGAACACATGCAAATACTTCATTACGGACGACCCGGGGACTTGGGAGCAAAACCGACGACAGAACGACAACGAGTGGACCACCGTACAGAACAAGAAACGAACGTTCCAACAACCGCCCATCGACCACGGCTGGGGCACGAGATACGGCTGGCACGGGGAGCCACTGCACGGCACGCAAAACGACACGCAGGCGACCAGGATCGGCACCCAGTCTACCCTTAATGAACACGGATTCAACAGCGACAGTACCAGCAACCGGCGGACCATCGGAGAGATCAATGAGGACCCAATCCGTACATCAGCATGGGATTAGATTCGATGAACGACATCAACAGAGGAGGAAGAACTACGAGGATAAACGAGCTGAGTTTCTGGTCTCAAAACTTATGTCGATCGAATGACGCACAACAGGACTGGCTGGTATCGCTAGGAAAGGCTAAGTATACAATAGGACTAGCACAAGAACCTTACATCGACGCGAGAGGAAACTCAAGAGCAAATCACACATGGAACTCGATATACCCAACGACGCACCGTAGACGACCACAAGAAACCCGCGCATACATGATCGTCAGCACGCAAGTATCGCCAGATGCATGGAGCCAAATCGAAGTCGACTCCCCGGACGTAACAGCGATCAAAATCGCGGACGAACACGGCGATCTATTCATCTTTAACATGTATATTGACCAAGCTAACTCGGACGCTCTTTTTGAAGTAGAACGAAAGACGAAGAAGGCACAAAACGAAGGATACCAGAAACGAAGGCCCACGCATTTCCTATGGATCGGCGACTTCAATCGACACTCCCCACTCTGGGACGAGGAACGCAATCACCACCTTTTCACGAGACGCAACACGGTAATGGCTCAAACCCTCATCGACATGCTGGCAACGTACGACCTCAAAATGGCGCTACCGCACGGACTCCCAACACTCGAAGCCATGGCAACCGGAAACCACACCCGACCGGACAACGTCTTCGTCTCCGACAGCTTACTGGACCGCATCGTGACATGTACAACGCTCCCCGAATGACGACCCCCGAAGACAGACCATTACCCGGTGATCGGCCGACTACGCCTCGAGTTGGATTACAGAGAACCGGTGAGAAGGCTTGACTGGGGATCAACTGACTGGAGCGAATACAGAGACACACTACGCGGTAAACTCGACACCCCGCATCCGGAAGAGATCCAATCTAAGGAAGAGTTTGACGAACTCCTGGCTACCCTCAACTGCGCTATACGGGAGACGACAGACGAACACGTGAAGCGACTCAACCTGACGCCATATACGAAACGTTGGTGGTCGAAAGAACTGATGCAACTTAGGAAAACGGCACACTACCTAGGGAAGAAAGCTCACGACGCGCGAGGCGACAGAGGGAACGTCATTCATGAAGAGTACCGCAAGGCAAGGAACAGATATACGAACAGCATCAAACTGGCGAAAGACAAATGCTGGGAGACATGGCTAAGCGCGGTGAGAAACAACGACATGTGGAAGACGAGCTCATACATCAGCAATCCGTCTACAGACGCAGCAAGAGCGAGAGTACCAGACCTCATCGTCAAAGGGCCCGACGGCGAAGATATAAAGGCGACTACAAACGAGCAAAAAACGGCACTCTTCAAGACAGAATTCTTCCCGACATCCCCCGAAGACATACAAATCGAGGGCGACGAACATGAGGACGAATACCCGCGACCAGCTTTCGATTTCGCCCCAATAACGGACGAACGTATCAAGACGACCATCGCCAAACTACAACCGTACAAAGCCCCCGATACAGACGAGTTTTCGAATGCAATACTCACAAACTGCGCTGACGTACTTATTGGCAGACTTGGACCCCTGTTCAGAGCGGTACACGACCTGAAGTACTGGCCGGAGGAGTGGAAGTTCGTCGGAATAGTGGTACTACGCAAACCAGGGAAAGGCGACTATACAAAGCCCGGAAGCCATCGGCCGATATCGCTCATCAAGAAGATCGCAATGCTTTACTCGAAGTGCATCTCGGAGGAGCTACAGTACCAAGCAGAGAAGCATCAACTCCTGACGCCCACGCAATTCGGATTTCGCGCAGGAAGAGCGACTACGGACGCGATACATTACGGGATAGCGAAGATCAAAGACGCCTGGAGAAAAGGGAAGTGCGCTGCGTTATTACTACTGGACATAAAAGCTGCCTTTCCGCACATCGTCATTAGCGTCCTGATCCACAAAATGCGAATGAAGGGCGTACCGAAGGAGTACACCGACTGGATACAATGGCGCTTCAAAGGACGAAAGACCAAACTCACCTTCGACGACTTCCAATCCGACGAAATCACGATAGAAGATGGGCTCGATCAAGGCGACCCTTTCTCGACGACCGGTATGATTTTCTACATAGACGACCTCTTACGAGACGCCCCAGATAGAGACGACGGAGAGGAGGCCCTCGGATTCGCAGACGACGTAGGGCTATTGGCGATAGGCGACGACCTAGAGGAGGCGGCCGGCAAAGCAGAAAGTTTCATGGTACAGGAAGGAGGAGCATTGGACTGGAGCGCCCTCACAAACTGCAAGTTCGGACTGGACAAGACACAATGTATCGGACTAACGCGCAGACGCGAAACGGACGCACAAAAGCCAGGCAAGACGAAACCAATAGAGAGACCCAAGCTCAGCCTCAACGGCACAGAGGTCGCCATGTCAACGTCAGCTAAGTGGCTAGGGATCATAATCGACCAGGAACTTCGTTTTCACGAGCACGCAGCGTACGCCCTCAAAAAGGGGACAGACTACATGCAACACTTCCGAAGACTAGCCAGGAACGCCACCGGAGTTCGACATCGATATCTACGACAATACTACAAGTCCATCGCCATGCCACGGATGTTATACGGCGCGGACATCTGGATCAAGCCACCCAAGATCAACAAACGAGCGACACAGCGATTCCTAGGGAAGATGAACTCGGTACAACGACAGGCCGCCTTACATGCAACGGGAGCCTTGCGGACGACGCCGACAGACGTAGTTTACGCGCACGCGGAACTGGTACCATTGGACATCGCGATACACCAGCAACTACACAGGAGCACGACGAGGATCGCGACACTACCAGATACAAACCCGCTCGCAGCAGTGGCCAGGAGGGCAGCGGGAAGGTACGTCAAGAGACACCGAGGACCACTTCACGACCTCTTTCAGGCATATCGCATCAAACCGAACAGACTAGAGAAGATCGCGGCAGTACGTAAAGGACCATGCTACACGCCGGCTTTCAAGACCAAGATTGCGCGTACCAAGGATGCGGCGAGGGACGATGCGGAACGCAACGAGGACAGATTCCGGATATTCACGGACGGATCGGAAATCAACGGAAAGGTAGGCGCAGCGGCGGTACTATACCAGGAAGACAAACCACCGGCGGTCTTGAGATACCACCTGGGCAAAGCGACGGAATACGGCATCGCAGAGGCAGAACTGGTAGGGGAGGTAATGGCTGCACACATGCTGGAAAGAAGGGCTAACCAGGTCGATACGGCGACAATCGGGGCCGACAATACGTCAACGATACTGAACACAAGAAACCAGACACCGAGGAAGGCGCACTACCTCCTAGATCAGATCCACGACATCCTCGACAAATGCAAAGCGAAGGGACCAAACGGCCAAGCCATCACAATAGCATGGACCCCAGGGCATATCGGCATAGAAGGGAACGAGCGAGCAGACGAGGAGGCAAAGAAAGCGGCGGAAGGCGATACAAGTCCAGCTAAGTACCTCCTGCGCATCCTCAGGAAAAGGCTACCAACGAGCAGTTCAGCAGCGAGGAAGACCTACAAAGAGAACACCAAGAAGACGACGGAACGAAGAATGCGGACGTCAAGACACATGAAGAAGATATACGACCTCGATCCGAAATTCAAACCGAGCAAGTTCTCCCAAATCGCGAACGCACTCCCTAGAAGACACCTATCGCTACTTATTCAAATGCGGACTGGACACATCGCGCTCGCAAAGCATCTGTATAGGATCAAGAAAGTCAACAGCCCCGTCTGCCCAGGATGCCGAACACATGGCGAGACAGTGTCGCACTATCTGATGCACTGCAGAAAATACGACACCGAACGCGGAGCACTACGAAGAGATCTGGGAATCCGGGGAAGTAACATCAAATTCTTATTGACAGACTCAAAGGCGTTTCCAGCTCTCTTTAGGTACATAGCAGCGACAGGGAGATTCGCAAAGAGCCACGGCGACCTACAATTCACAAGCACGGAATGGAAAGAACAGAACGAAGACGAATAGCAAACTATACGAGCGAAACAGAGCAGGGAGCGGAAGGAAAGGAGGAGACTAGACGAAACGGGCAGACGCAGACACTTTTCCCCCTTTTTTCCCTACGGGGTTTTGGGGGTTTTTAGGGCGTGCACAACAGGAGACGGTGGAGGGAATGATGAAGACACGAGGAGACGGGAGGGGGACCCATCCCACCCCACATCACACCGCCTAACTTAAGGCGCCCCGGCCAAGCGGGTAGACACACCTCACCCGCCGAGGCAGTGGTACAGATCGGACACGTTAGTCGGGCTAGAGAGGCTCAGGGGATCAGGCAATAGTAGTTTAATGTCTAACATACGGCTCGACCGCAACGGACAATAAACACGGATAAAAAAAAAAAAAAAAAAAAAAAAAAAAAAAAAACAGACGGTTGTAGAGTCCTTGATTGAAGAAGAGTTCGATAAGGGCGCCTGCGAGTCGACGGCAGAAACAGGATTGAGGAGGCATCAACGTTGAGGCTTCGGAATGCACCGTCGACTTCTCTGGGCTCTCCAGCGAGGGCACCTCTTCGGTGACATGCCCGATCGGAGAAGGCATCGGCGTGTCAGGCTGGGCGGGATGAGCCAACGCGGAGGGATCTGCAGCGTCGTTGGAGAGAGCGTCGAAGGGTGCTGGTTCGCTGAGGTTAACGGAAACATCGTTCACCTCCATAGCATGAACGTCTTCAATAGCGGCTTCGTGTAAGTTCTCGTTGGCTGACTGGTCGGAAGTAGCTTGCGCCATTGTCTGTCAGGGAATCTCGGGGACAGCGACAGTTACTTACACCGTTGATGGAGGGTGGGCGCGGTCATCGACGGTAGCTTCTTCAGCGGAGACAGGTTCGTCCACCTTCCCGTCCGCATCCTCCTTCGTCCCAGGTGACCCAGGCCGCTGCTTCTCCGCCTCCCTCTCGACCCTCTCTGGCTCGCGCTCGCCGCATCCTTCCTGGCTTTCCTTACAGCATCATATCCATAGCTCTCCACTTCATCGAGCCTATCAAGGAGTAATCCGAGCGCGTGCATATATCGATGCAGAGATCGGTTGTTCGCCGTGTACGCGAAGGTGTCCTCGCCCGCTAATCACTCGACTATTCCAGGGCTGGCGAGGGACATCAAAACGGAGTAAGAGAGGGATTGAAGTCGAGGTGTTCCGTGAAAAGGAAATCGGACGAGAGCGAGTCGAGGCGCGGATGTTAGCCTGTTAGGCCTACATAAAACGGAAACCCTCACATGGACCCGGACCGTTCCAATGTCCATGATCGTCGTCCAAATCAGGAATGCGCCCCTTGTCGAGTTGCTCGGATTCACTCGACGCGACAGTTGGCCACGTGATCATTTCGCCGGTGTGGCTTTGTAGCCCGGCGACCCGGCCTCGACACGTGGTGTTGCCTCCGACGGTCGCCGGAGACCACATTCCTCTGTTGCTAGATATATGCCGCACATATCGCCTTAGCAAGCATTAAAAAATACTATCGTACTTATATAATGGCCTGAGATAACTTTTATGGGAGGATAAACACTATGAACGCCTACCGCTCCGGCGCAATATCCAAAACTGGCTGGCACACCGGTGGAATCATCACGTGGCAATGCCGGGTCGCCGAGCTACAGAGCTACAGTACGAGCTTAAAACTCTGTAGCTCAGAATTGAACAGACCTACTTTCAGATTTCTCGAGAACGACGACCGCAACTTCAAGGCCGTCGGCCACCTCTCGTCTTCTCCTTCCCCAGCGACAACGTTTATGGGAATGAGCGCCATATGACACCGATCTTGCGGCATTCCAACTCACCGCAGCGACCTCAGCATTCGTCGGCCTCCCGCCGATCCCGCGTGGCGCTCGTGTCTCGCATCTCATGCAGGGTTGCTGGTCCACATATCTTCCTGACCGATCTATCTCTGGGAACTGGATGCTTTTGCGCACAAGAATAGGCAGTAGCTTCGACGGCTTGAACATGCCTAGATTCTGCAACACACCTTTCTGTACACGCGCGCACACCATATACAAAGGCGAATATAAGGTTGATACAATGACAGGTCTACCTTGAGTGATGGGCAACCGTTTACTCCAACGATGCTCCGACTGATCTACCACTTGCTCTTTTTATTCGCCTTCCGTAGGCTCTCGTTTGCTCAGGCTGCGCCTACGGTCACGGTGAAGAACGGCACTCACGTCGGCATTGCTCTGCCGTCATTCAAACAGGAGCTCTTTCTGGGTCTACCGTATGCGCAGCAGCCCCTGCCTCCGGACCTGCGCCTACGTCCTCCCCTATCGCCCAACACATTGTGGACCGGAACGCGGCCCGCCAGAATATAGTCCGATATGTGTCGGATATCCGCAAGGAGCAACGGACGATGATTTGGGTCTTGATCTGGGCGAGGAGTGCTTGACGTTGAACGTCGTTCGTCCCCAGGGAGTTCAACAGGGCAGCAGCATACCCGTCGTGGTCTGGATCCCGTAAGCCCTGCTAGCGGCATAGATCTTCGTGAGGCTGCGCACTTGCCAACACTATTGCCTCTTGCCGAAGACCAGAAAGCCGATGTACCAGAAGCGAGTTGTTTGACCCTGAATCGCTTAATGTGTGTATTTCTATCAACAACCTTGCTGAGCGTTCTGTGAACATGCAGTGCAGCAGTCTCCCTCGGCGGGGCGTCACGGTGATTCAGACGATCCTGGAGGATGGGAGACATGTCTCGAAGAGATGCTCAGGCATGACACCAAGATGGTCGAAGACTGGAATGACGAGATCAATACTATACTGATTCTCGTAAGTGCGGACGATTTACATGTCTTCCCTTTGGCTTATGTCCGTCGGAAAGGCTGGTCTGTTCTCTGCGGTTCTAACAGCTTTCACCGTCGAGTCGTACCAACTTTTGCAGCAAGACCCAGAGCAGGAGTCGGCGGATACGCTATCCCAGATTTCACTGCAGCTCGAGAGCTTCTCCGTGAATCCTGCGTTTATCAATTCCACGCACGCGCCGGTCCTGAAGCTGGCCCCCATTTCGGATGCGGCGATGCGTATCAATAGTCTCCGGTTCACCAGTCTTGTCTTGAGCCTGACATCGGCGTTGACGGCCATCTTCGCTCGTCAGTGGCTTCGAGAGTACGTGCCTTGGCAGTTATCTCTTCCCAAGGACAAGCAGCTGTCTTCGCCACGGGAGAGTGTTCGCCTCCGTCAGTTTCGCCACAACGGCCTCGTGCGCTGGCGTGTACCGGCTGTGATGAATGCCATCTCTATCTTGCTCCAGATGGCTGTTGTCCTATTTCTAGCGGGTCTTGTGGACTTCATCTGGACGCTCAACCGAATCGTGGCTATCACTATCACGGTCTTCATTGCCGTACCTCTGGTTCTGCTGTTGAGCTCTGCGATAGTTCCGACATTCGCGCCAAATTGCCCTTACAAGTCGCCCCTCGCGTTCTTCTTCTACCGTGCCTCGGTCTCTGTCCTGTGGCTAGCTGGATGGATCGCTGGCTTGAGCCCAACAATTCCCATCCCGCAGTCTTTGCGTTCGAACATCGGCCGTCGCTTCGGCAATCTCCGTGGTCGAGCGTTGTTGGAATGGATGCCCTCTACATGGGTGCTACGTGATGTCTGGAACGTGTGACGCCGATCTTCGCAGGCGCTCGACAGCGACAGCGGTGCCTTAGACTGGATCCATGCATACACGTTCCACGAAGGAATGCGAGACAGCATCCTCATGGAATGTCTTTCTGACATAGCGAGCGATAAGCGGGCTCGAGTGGCGGTCGAATTGGTCGCGAAAGCCTCCGGCTATTCATTTCATGATCTCATCCGTCTCCTGCGGTATGGTGGATCCGCCCCTATGCTGTCCGAAATGAAGGCTCGGATCCATATGGAGCTTTTGCTAGCGGTCTATGTCTATAGCTGTCCATGTGAGGATCCGGAATGCGAGAAGGTATCCCAGAACGATCTCCACGTCTTAACTGAGCGTCTTTCCGCTTTCTCTCCCTCTACGCGTCAGAAATATTGGAGATTTCTGAAGAATCGGATCATTGCGGGAGGACGTTTATCGTCAGCAGAAATAAACATTTTCGCTCTTGGAATAGACTCGGCACTCGACGAGTCGCTAGTTGTTCATAGGGAAGGTTGGTCCATTGTAGTAAGCTTACTCGGAGTGAAATACTGACTCAAACCTACGAACTCAGACCTACGCACCGTGCTCCGATGGAGCGCCAAACTGCCTATTCCAGAAGCCAACGGCTCGGATCACAGCACGTTAGCGTCGACGGCATTTGATACAGCCATATCAGCCACCTTCCGCCTCTTGGGAGACATTGCACTGGACGATATATCGCATCTCACCGAGGAAGACCCGGACATGCTGGCCGACTTATTCAGCCACGTCAAGGACTATGTTCTTTATCGCGTAGCAAGCCGCACCTATGTCCAGGGGCAATGGCTATGCCCCGCTCACTGGATAATATTTGCGTTCTCTGTCCCGTTCGTGACGCGTGATTTCGCGCTCGCGGTCAGGAGCTTGGTGTTGCAGCAGATGTATGAACCATCGGAGGACGTCCGGATGAAACAGGCTATCGACAAGGCATCTGTTCCACTGTACTTCTGGGACCAAGAGTTTCACAAACTTTCCGCGGGTGACGTTCTTGGGCGGGCTGCGGTCCTGCAGTCGCGAGCTGATGGCACGCTGGAAGAGCCACCGGGTAGGTGGTTTGGGTGAAGCGTGGCTTGGGTGTAGGCCGGGTGCGAGCGTAACGGCTCGCCCCTGGCCTACACGGCCAGCTCTCCCGAGCGTGCCATGGACGTTCGAGATCTGCTTTCCTAAGCTTGAGCATAGGCTCTTCGTGGTCTATGGAGCAATTGTACAAGGATGAACCATGAAATCTACGAACAAGGGGGACGGTGGGTGGGTTGAAAATACGAAAACGTAGTAGCACGACCTTCGCTGCCCTCGGGGACAGGAACAGAGGAGCCAGCGAGGCGACCTCCGCCGCCCAAGAACCGGCACCGCCGCACGTGACCTCCGCTCCGGTGCGCCCGCTCTTGGGCGGGCTGCGGTCCTGCAGTCGCGAGCTGATGGCACGCTGGAAGAGCCACCGGGTAGGTGGTTTGGGTGAAGCGTGGCTTGGGTGTAGGCCGGGTGCGAGCGTAACGGCTCGCCCAGACCGCGCCCCAGACGGAGCGCGAGCGCCCGGCTAACCCCCACCACGCGGTCGGGTCTTTTCCCGGGAGTTTTGTGCGACGCCCCGGGGGATGTGTTGCATGTGGGCGGGTAGGATACCTTCGACCACCCGCCAGTATCGAAGAAACGAGTCTGATGACCATCTTCCCGCTTTCTTGACGACATCGGGGGAAACTCCCGATATCAGCAGTTCCGTGGTGCCTCCGATGCGGAATGAGTGACCTGTAAGCCTCGGGAGGCCTGCTTCCGTCCAAACCGAGTTGCATCTCTTCATGAAAAAACGCCGGGTGAGCGGGCGAGTACCGAAGGATGTCCGATAAGCAAAGAGGTGGTCCGAGTTGGCGGGATTGTTCCAGAACAAGTGATGGCGGAGAGCCCGAATGGGGTCCGATGATCCTCGCTGGCGAAGGATCACGACGTCTTCCCCCTGACTGAAGCGAATTTTGGTAGAGGGGAGGTGAATGATGTGGGATGTCGAGGCTGGGGAAGGAGGGGTGAGGTCCGAGCGAGATGGACTCCTCTTCGCGGCAGCCGGTGTCGTCGAAGGCGGAAGGAGCTCGCCAAGGCGGCATTGGCCCCAGAACGCCACGCATGCCGCAGCAAAGACGGCTATGTCCACGGGGTTCGAGAGGTCGAGTTTGGCCCTCAAGATGCGCAACAAATTGCGGGAGACCGGGAGGCGTGGCGGGCGGCGCGAAGAGAGTGGACGTCGATTCTCCACACCGTTCAGGACGTACTTCAGCCGCTTGCCTCCTTTCCACTCCGCATTTTGCGCTGCGTGCCATGCCTTAAGGCCGGCAATGGCGTTTCTGACCGTGCTGCCTGCGTGGCGGCCTTCGCTGGAAGCGGCGAACGCGCATAGGACCAGTTCGTCGGCTGGAAGCCAGAATCTTCGCTGGATCTTTTCTTTCCTGCAGAAACGGATGAACCTATTGACCGCGCTATTGTAACCTTGTAAGGTGGACGGCGCCCACCCGTGGTGTAGAGCCCTTGCCAGCTGAGCCTCGATGGCGCCCGAAAGTCTGATCCTGTTCGGGTTATGGAGCTTGGCTGTCCTTGACTTCCCGTGCGGTAAAGCAAAGTAATCGACGTGAGACGGGTCTCGAGAGGATAAGCGAGAATCCCGGTGTTTGTCGCGGGCTCGTGGTGACGGTGTCGACGAAGTGCGCATGAGGAGAAGCGCGGCGCGCCGCCCAGGTCTCTAGTCAACTTCGGTCTGAGTCTCCTCGTTGACGCTCCACTTCCTCATCGTCTCCCTTTGATATCATGTACTCGAAAGAAACACTCGACTATAGATTGACACAAGTTGTAGCCCTACTTATGAGGCCGGAGATGCAGAATGGGATCTTGACCAAAGTGTTCGACCGCGGCGAATCTCCTGGAGCTATACCTCTCGAAGGCTCGTCTGCTTTGTTCTGGATAGACGGAACGTACTGCGAGATAACCCACACGTTGGATGTGCGCATGAGCGCGACGATCCTCTGTAGAACGCGATTCTGTTCCGTGTTCCTCGACTTACCGGCCTCGAGTGCGCCGATAACCCCTTGATTATCCGATTTCATAACTAACCGCGTATCCGTTACGCCTCTTGCAATGGCGACTCTGAGGCCGAGCTCGACCGCCACCATTTCGCCCCAACCGATGTCTCGTCCATCGGATTTCCAACCCGGTTTGAGCTCCCAGGCGTCCCATGAACCGTCGATGACTATTCCGATGCCGAACGACGTGGATGCGTCGACCCAGAGGTCGCAGGTCGATGTGATTGTCGGCACTCGGAGTGTGCTGCCGCATTCCGGTAGCCGCAATTGCGACCTCCAGAACTCGATGTCTTCGAAGACGCCGGCGTTCGGCTTTCTTCTAGAAAACGGCGAGGAGGCGTGGTGGAATGAGCTGACGAACTTTGAGAGGTGAACGAGTCTTGAGCGACCGTCCGGCAGGGCCATGCTGCAATGAACTAACGTCCCCAGGACCTGTTCCGCTTCCTTCCTCGTGAAGGACCTGCCGGGTATCCATGCGTCTAGCTTCGATAAGTACCTGCCCTTCTTTTCCTCCGGAATGGACACTCGTTTCGACACCAGGTCCCATAAGAATCCGAGATACTTGAAGACCGGCGCGAAATCGCGGGTTTTCGATGGCTTCCACGGCCAGCCGAGGCCCTCCGCTAGCTCCATGATCTCTGCTAGACTGTACCGATATACCGGCGCCCCTTCTGCGCCGGCTTCGCTTGGGAATCGAAAAAACGCGAAGTCGTCTACCCACTTCTTCAGCGCATCCACCCCCCAAGCCAGGTAAATCGCCGCCATACTGTCTGCGACGCGGCCCCATACGCCCGGCGAACTGGCCGGGCCAAATGGGGCGTTGTGATCGATCCAATAGCGCCCCTTCCAGTGTACCACGAAGTGCCGTTGCTGCTCCGGACGGATCGGGATGCATCGGAACGCCGCATCGACGTCCAACGTCGCGACTTGCGCGTTCGGCGGAGCCTCCATGACTAGGAGTGCCATTTCCGCGAACGAACCCCACTCACATTGGAAGCGATCGGTATCGATCTCGCTATTGACGGATGCGTGTGAGTGGTCGTTCCGCGGGAATGAGAAATCCTGAATCATTCTCATCTCAGCTGTGCCCGCTTTCGGGACTGCCCCGAGCGGCGACGTCCTGAAGAAGCCTATGAGCGATTCGAGCTCCGTCCTCGCAAAGGGGCCCGAGTATCGGCCCGCCGATCTCTCTTTCTCGATATATGCGTCGATCGCGTCGCTGTTATCCAGCGCTGATCGATGATTAGGAGGGTCGTAAGTTTTCGTTAACGTGCTCGTTATACCCATGTCGAATCCGATCTCGATGTTCGGTGCTATATCCGGAAACCTGTCCAGCAGGCCGAATTCGATGAGCGTCTCGTGCCATCGATGTGCGATGAGTGGAGTGACGATGGGGAACAGATCAGCAGACGACGGTGCAGCTCTGCGCTCCGTGGTTTGCGCCGCCGCAGAGTGTGCACCTGTGGTCTCCTTTCTTGCAAGGCCCGTCCTCTTTCCTCGAGCACCCGCCGGCCATGTTGAAGAAGAAACAGTATTGCCGGCCTTTGGCGTCTTTGACGGTGCGGTCGTCGCCTCTGATGAGAAAGATTGGTTGTCCGTTGGTGAGCGTGTCGGCCTTGCACGATGAGGCCCTATGACCCTTGCCGCCGCACATGAAGCATCTCGCGTCGATGTGTTTGG